AAAGATAAACATTTTTGAAGGTTTCTTTTTAGAAATAGAAAATAGACATGAAAATGAGATCATAGCAAAAATAATGGACTAAAAAGCCCTTGGGATCACAAAGATATGATGTTTTAAAGTTATGAAGAAAAATGAGAAAACCCTGAATAAAAAATAAAGGAAATGCATTTGGAGGGTTTGAACCCACGCTGCCTTACCCAAAGATCAAAACTTTACCAAACCAACCATTGCGTGCTTCAGATAACATTATGATTAACATTAAATAAATATGAAAATCAAGGCAAAAAGTAGAAAAATAAAAAAGAACAAAAGAGTCTGGGGTGAGGGGGGATTCGAACCCCAGACTCCCAAGGCCAATGCGCGCTGCCTCTACCACTGGGGTGGTTGTACATCCGTTGTATAAGCCACCCAAAAATAATAATATACTAAAAACACAATGAAAAGGCCAACTCAGCAAAAGACCACTCCGCGTCAGCTTCATCTTCAACAAACATCCTTTTCATACTTTCTCACTCTCGAACCCTAGCCTTTTACCATAGCCAAAATTCCTACCTCTCTTATCTCACTCAAAACTCAACCCAAAATCAAAATTGTAAGAACCAAACTTGTAGTATTTTTCACCAGGAATCTAAACATGCAATTATCATCACCTAAAACTAATCATACAAACCATGAAAACTGCTCAAACCTAGTGGGACCATAACAACACCATAGATGAAAAACTAAGCATTTTCAGTGTGTATAAGACATGTAATTCTACAAACAAAAAGTAAACAACATAATGAACATTTTCTATTCATATGAGAAACAACGATAACATGAGTATGCAAAGCTTGAAGGAGAAACAACTCTACCTCTTGAAGAAAATATGAAGCCTCTCCAATAGTGATTGTAGTGGTGCCAAAGGATGTTGTTCAAGCTTCTTAGCTCCTAGGGAGTGTTTTTGAATGATTGATTTTCTTCGAAACTCCTTTCTTATTCAAACCCGATTGTTCATGTTCATGGAAGGTTGAAAATAGTGAATGAAATTAAGAGGTTACGATTCTCTTTTGGTGGATCAGATGGGTTTGTTATAATGTATGATGAAGGTTTATGGAGTTTGTTTGGAGTTTAGATGAGTGAGAATGGTGGTTGGGGAGGTTTTGCAAAAACTGAAGTGATTGTGTGACTTCTCGAAAGTGAGGTTTCTGGGTGTTTTTTCTTTCTGCTTTTCTCCTCCTCTCCACTTGTCTACTCCCTCTCTCCTTTTTCAAAATCTCTTGAGGTCCTTTTTCAATTTGAAAAGATGCTTTTGGAGCCAAAATGAAAAGTTGACCATGATAGGGATGGCTCGGCTAGGGCTTTTGCTCAGAGGAGCAGCTTGACAGGATCAGAAGCCAGATGATCTGTTCCCCAATATTTGTCTTACGTATCTCTTATGCTTGCGCCACAAAATGCTTTTGGTATGTCAAATAAAGAAGAACTAAAAGAGGAAATGTTTGGGATTGAATCTTGCAGGGATAGGTGCACAATGTTTCATGTTTTGAGTGTTGCATAAGTTTTTCAAGACTTGGCACGAAACCTGGTTGTGGCCAAGGCATGATGGAAGGATGAGGGCATGGTCCATAGCTGACTTTGGCTCCTCATACTTTCATGGATATTGGTTCAAATGAAAAGGTCATGAGCTATTTGGAAAGAGGACATGTAACCCTACAACTTTCATGTTTATGGTCTCTTGAGATTGAGCTTGGAAGATGATGAAAACATAGCATGAAAATTGGTTCAACAATGCTGGCCTAGGCAAGCCCGCACATGACCTAGTCATGACTTGGGCAACTTTTGTCAAGGATTGATGCCTATGTTTGTGATGTTATATCTTGAGCTTTAAGAACCCAATGGAGGAGTTATTTATATGCTTGGAAAGATGAGATAGAGGAGAACAACTTTGATGTTGTACATGTTTGGACTTGAGGCTTGGAACTATAAAAAATAAAGCTTGCAAGTTGAGCAAAAACATGACTTTGGAGTGCCTTGGCAACTTAGGCAAGTTGCCTAACTTTTGCCCAAAAACACCGAACTTTGTGATGCCATAACTTTTCACTCCTTGGTCCAATTGAGGAATTATTTATATGCTTGGAAAGTTTAGATCAATAGGAGCAACTTTCATGTTGGATGAATTTTGATTTGAGGTCAAGAAACTCATGAGGCCTTGGTTGGAAGTTCTTGCCAAAACAATGTTGCCGTAGGTTGCCCTACTTTGACCTCCACTTGAAAACATCATAATTTGAGTTCTAAAAATGATCTTGAGGAGTTATGGGTATCAAAATAAAGCTAAAGGGATGATCTACAACTTTCATGTTAATACCAATACAAGTTACAATTGGGACCATCTTGAATTTGGCCTTGAAAATCACTTCAAATGCTGACTTTTTAACTTGGAAATCTTCATCAAGGAAACCCTAATTCTTCACATCTCCTGACTTTATTGTTCCTCCTTGATTTATCTTGATCTAAAAACATGATATTATAGTATAAGACCTCTAAAGCTTAGAAATGACCATAAAACTCAAGAGTTGACTTTTGTGATGCCTCAGTTGACTTTTCAATCAAATGAAGTCAATGCCTCTCCTATCCACTTAAGGAACTCTTGACTTGGATTTATTTGGACCAAATGACCTCTTATAGACCCATGAAATTTGTGAGCACCTCCTTGGTTGATTTCCCATTCAACTCATGATTGACCAAAGCTTACTCCCCTTCTCCACAAAACCCTAATTTCAACAAAATAAACAAAATAGTAAAGCTTGATGATTGGTTAGTGATGCAAGGATGATTGACCTATGATACTCATGCAAATGTTGATGATATCTAAGGGGTAAAAAATTGTGGTATGACACATACGATGGTTCATCAGACACGCCATGAGCATGACAATTGATGATTCCATTATATGAATCTCTTCTGGGTGAGGTCTTCATATTGAACTACGCGAGAGAAGTCTCTCGGTGTCCTATACTACACGACCATTAACATCGAGTTCTAAAAAATGGTATCATAGTCATCGAATTCCTTGACTGTTTGTTGTGTATGTCAGTGATTTCTAGAAAAACGACTCCATCAAGAAAGTCTCTTCTAATTGAGATCTTTGTATCGAACTACGCGAGGAGCAAACCTCGGTGTCCCATACTACGTGACCATCAATCCTAGTGTTTAGCCAAATGTTTCAAGGTTCTAAAAGGTCCTTAGAGCGTGTATCCCAATGAATATGTTGGTGGTTCACATCAAAAGGCTCGACGGTCGCCAACATTCTCATAGAATCTACTATAAGCGAGGTTCGCGTATCAAACTACACGAGGAGAAATTCCCTGGTGCCTCATACTACTCAACCTCTTATATCTTATGTGTTTACTCTAGACTCAGATATAGAGTCTTTCCCTCAAGGTTTGTAATCAAAGTATTTCACAGTGTCAAGAACCACAAATATATACATAATATAGAAAGCAGTTAAAAGAAACATAAGCAATCAAGAAAGATAAACAAACACTCAAACATGCGAATAAACCTAGACTAGGCTTGACTTGCTTAGGGGTATATCCCCAGCAGAGTCACCATCTGTCGTACCTCGAAAAATATGACCTCACGAAGAAAGTTTATGGATGGGCTGACAGAGAGTCTCCACCAAACTTTAGTTATTCCCGAGAAGGGAAAGGGAAAATATCGAGAAAACCTACAGGGAAAAGGATAGGGTATGGTCATTACAACCATGTTGGGTTCGGAAGTCGGTTATGTAAGGGGAAGGTACTAGCACCCCCTGTATCCATCATGCTCAATGGGAACCATCTAAGTTGTCTATCATGAAAGATATTTGTCTATCTTATTACTTTCTACGGGAAAGATGGGTGAATGAATACTTGAGGGAAAAAATAAAGTTTTTATTATTGAGTTCGTTTGAGTTTTCAACCCAGTGCCTATGTATCCCAAAAGGAATCAGAACTCTGTAGTTCGTGTTGAAAATATTTTTTGGTTTGTTGTGTGTTTTTTATGGATGATGCTAAGTAACATGTCATTCTTGAAAAGTTTAAACAGAAAAGCCCGAAGGCAAAAAGGTCTGAGATTTGTGAAGTATTTTTCAAGGTTTGGAAAACAGTCAGAGATAAGTTAAAGTATTTTTTGATTTTTAATTTAAAAAAAATACTTGATTAAAGATCAAGGTTTTAAAATTGTGTGATGCCGATTTCAAGAGGCAACCGACTTATGAGGGAAGAAACCACTTGATGTTGGATCAAGGGTTTGAGAAAAAGATAGGTCGATTCCAAGTCCCTAAGGGTGGTCCGAGTAAACAAAACTGCAACCAAAGAAAGAAAGAAAGTGTTTGCATGAGGTTGATGGCGACGCTAAAAAGCAATCGACTTACAAGTTGGGGTATGACTTGATATATGAATCAAGAATGTTTTGGGTTTGGTTGATGGCGAACAGTGTATCGACACGATTCGATCCAAACAGTATAATCAAAACCAAAATAAAGTAGTTTATATATATATAGCCACCGAAAATATTCGTGTGTGTATATATGTATATATATATATATATATATAGCGGCTTACAATATATATGTATTAGCAATGCGCAGTACAACATATCTTCATATTAGCACAGTGTATATATATATATATATATATATATATATATATATATATATATATATATATATATATATATATATATATATATATATATATATATATATATATATATATATATATATATATATATATATATATATATATATATATATATATATATATATATATATATATATATATATATATATATATATATATATATATATATATATATATATATATATATATATATAAGTGAGTACTATACTCAGATGTCTATGAACCAAGATTTCATTCCCTTTGTCAAGTGGTTCATTAGTTACTTTATAAGTAAATAAAAAGAAGAGTTGGTTTTTATAAAACAAAACGAATTATTAGTTCTACAAAAACTTTGGGAAAATGTCAAAGGAAAAAGAATGGAACCTCCTTTTCCCCCCTGAGCAAACAGTAAGTTTGGGTCCTCATACAGAGGCTACACCTTATCTTATCCTTCAAAGGGTTGAACAAAATCAGATGACTCTTAAAGAGTTAAATTCCATAATCAAATCCAATAATTATACTAATGCCTACCTTGTTTGCCTAGGAGAACAATTTATTTCTCTAGAAAAGGAACTTTTATCCATAAAGGACCTTTTAGACAAACAAATAGCTCGTCAAAAGATTATCATTGACCTTATTAATAAGCCTAAACCTCAATAACAAGCTTCTACATCTAATATTCCAGACGTTCTTATAATTCAACCTCCTATTCCTATAGAAGGATTTAAAATGGAAACTTACGGTGATGAGTTTGTCTGTATTCTTGAGAAAAAGCTTAAAGATTTACATTTAACGGCGATGTATAATCAAGACTCTTCTAATGAAGAAGAAATTAATAATTTAGCAAATATGTTTGCTGACTTAGACATAAGTAATCAAAATATTAATGAGATAAACCCTGTTTATACCTCTAAACCTTTAGAGAAATACTATTATAAGCGTCCCTCTCCTCAAGATTTACTTTTTGAAGAACCTGAACCCTTCCAAAATCCGTATTCTGGAAAAGCCATTTCTGAATGGAACATTGATGGGTTAAATGACAAACAAATCCTTGATACAATACATAGAATGATTATGTATTCCACTGTTTGTAAACAAAATGGAAATTCCGACAGAGATATTGCCACCTTCATATCCACTGGATTTATTGGTCAATTAAGAGGCTGATGGGATCATTATCTCACCGATAGTCATAAAAGGGATATTCTTGACCATAAGAAAATGATTAAGTCTGAAGCTCCTGTAATCGGATCAAGTGGTGTTGCCACCACAGGCGAAGAAGATGCGGTTTATACACTATGTCTCTCTATCCTTCAGTATTTTGTTGGAACCAATATCCCTATTGGAGAAAAAATTCAAACTCTACTCCAAAATCTAAGATGTCCTTCCCTTACACATTTTAGATGGTACAAAGATACATTTTTGTCTAGAATTTATCAATTAAAAAACCCAAATTATATCCATTGGAAAGCCAAATTTATTGATGGTTTACCCCATTTCTTTTCTGAAAAGGTTAGACATTCTTTAAAAAGTAAAAATGATGGGATAAATATTAACTATCCTGATCTTACCTATGGCCAAATTATAAGCCCTTGTGTTAATGAAGGATTAACTTTATGTAATGATATTAAGCTTAAAAATCAGCTTAAGAAACAAAAACTTTCTGAAAAACACCAAATGGGTGAATTCTGCGATCAGTTCGCCTTCGATCTTGGTAGATCCTTTGAGAATAAAAAGAAAAAGGGAAAAAATTTTAGGAATAAACCTCATAAAAATAAGGATAATTATAAAAATTCTTATAAGAAGAATAAGAAAAGAAGTCACTTTAATAAAAGTAGACCAAAAGAAAAGACCTTTATTCATAAAGGCAAAAGAAAAGCTAAAATGCTTGATGTATCTTGCCACAAATGTGGTAAAGCTGGTCACGATGCAAACCAATGTTGGACCAAGAAAGCTCTCAATGAGGTCGAGGATGAACAATTACGCTCTCAACTTAAGAAAGTTTGTTTACTCAAGTCTGACTCAAAAATTAATTCTTCTAATGAAGATATTGACATGATCTATGAATCATCATCAGATTATTCCTCTGATAATTCTGACAATAATAATTGTCAATGTAATCAAATTGATTACTGGAAGTCTATTGTTGACATGAATGGTCTTAATGTTCTTACTACAGAACAAGATGAAGCCATAAAGGCTATTGAGTCTATTTCTGATAATAACCTTAAAAGAAAAATGCTTAAAGTTTTAATTAAAGAAAATTCTAAAAAAGAATCTCCTATTATTAGTGAAGCACCCTACCAATTAAGTGAGGTTTTATCTAGATTTCAACAATCCAATATTTGTGAAACTCCTGTTTCCCTTACTGATTTAAACAGAGAAATTAATCTTTTGAAATCTGAAATTACTCAGATAAAGAAAGATAATAAAAAATCATCTACAAGGGTCTCCTTGCTTGAAACAGGTAACCTTAAAGTTGAAGAAATATCCTCTACTAGCAGTCCTTCTACTAATGATAGATTTCTCACTCTTATTGATAGAGTAATTTCTCAAAAATGGTTTGTTAAAATAACTTTAGTTATTAACAGAACATTTATTTTAGAAAATGAAGTCGCCTTTATTGATAGTGGCGTTGAGCTTAATTGTCTACAGGAAGGAATTATTCCTACCAAGTATTATATAAAAATCACTCAAACCCTTGCTCAGGCTAGTGGTGACAAATTAACAGTTAATTATAAATTACATAATACATATGTTTGTAATCAAGATATTTGTTTACCTACCCATTTCATCTTAGTTAAAAACATGACTCATAGAGTTATTCTTCGAACTCCTTTTTTAAATAGCATTATGCCTTTAATTAATGTTGACACTAAAGGCATTACTACCATGATTAATGATAAAACTGTCACTTTTGAATTTATTACTGATCCTCATATAAAAATGTTTAATGAAGTTAAAAGATTTCTCTTAAATAAAGAAAAACAATCAGGTTTTCTTAAAGAGGAAGTTAGTTTATTAAATATTAATGAACAACTTAATAAAAATGAGATAAGAAACATGTTATTTCTTTACCTTATGAGAACCAATTCAAAAATGAAGTGTGTAATGATTTGCCAAATGCTTTTTGGGATAAAAAGAAACATGTTATTTCTTTACCTTATCTTGATGACTTTAATGAAAGTCAGATTCCCACCAAAGCTAGGCCTGCTCAAATGAACCATGAGTATTTGGAGTTATGCAAAAAAGAGATAGAATCTCTTTTAGAGAAAAAATTGATAAGAAAATCAAAATCTCCTTGGAGTTGCACAACTTTTTATGTCAATAATGCTGCTGAAAAAGAACGTGGGGTCCCTAGACTTGTTATTAATTACAAACCCCTTAATAAGGTGTTAAGATGGATTAGATATCATATTCCTAATAAAAAAAGGCCTTTTAGATAGATTAAACAATGCTTTAATCTTCTCTAGGTTTGATATGAAATATGGCTATTGGCAAATTCAGATTAATGAATCTGATAAGTATAAAACAGCCTTTTATGTGCCTTTTGGACATTATGAATGAAATGTCCTTCCTTTTGGCCTTAAAAATGCCCTTCCGAACTTCAAAATATTATGAATGATATTTTTAATCCTTATACATAATTTATATATGTCTATATTGATGATGTATTAGTTTTTTCTAAAACTATAGATCAACATGTTAAACATTTAAAAATATTTAAAGGATTAATTAAACATAATGGATTAGTCATATCTGCTCCTAAAATGAAACTTTTTCAAACAAAAGTTAGATTTTTAGGTCATGAAATTGACCAAGGAACAATAATTCCTATACAAAGAAGTATTGAATTTGCTTCAAAATTCCCCAATATTATTACAGATAAGAAACAATTACAAAGATTTCTTGGTAGTCTTAATTACATAGCAGATTATTATAAAAATCTTGGAAAAAATCCAGGCCCTTGGACTAATGAACATTCTCAGGCATTCTAAAGAATTAAAAATAAGGTTAAATATTTGCCTTGTTTATCTCTTGCTAACCCTAAGTATTTTTAAATTGTTGAAACTGATGCTTCAGACTTAGGCTATGGAGGAATCCTTAAACAGGTTATACCTGAAACATCAAAAGAAGTTCTAGTCAGATTTACTTCTGAAAAATGGAATCCTACCCAATCTAAATATTCTACTATCAAGAAAGAAATGCTTTCTATTATAAAATGTATTTTAAAATTTCAAGATGATATTCTTAATAAGAAATTATTATTAAAAATTGATTTCAGCTCAGCTAAATCAATTATCGAAAAAAATGTTAAAAATCTTGTTTCTAAGCAAATATTTGCTAGCTGGAAATCTCAATTATCTATGTTTGAATTTGACATTCAACACATTAAAGGTGAGAATAATTCACTTGCTGACTACTTAACTCTTGAATTTTTGCAGGGAAAGAATGATGACCCCGTATAGGGGGAGAGGCCGCGGTTATGGCCGTGGTGGAAGAGGGAGTAACAATATGTTACCCCAACCAGAATCATGCATTCCTCTAATAGGGGATTGGACTACAATTTACAAAGGAAGAAAAATGCAGCAATTACCTGCATCTTCATAAAAAAAGGAAGATATAACTTCCCCCTCTTCTAATAAAAATACATCCTACAAGGAAATTGCGGTTAATAACCCATCTCAAGAAAAAATGGATTATTTTAAAAATCCAAAAACTGAAAAAAAATCATGTATATTGATGAAGAAGATATTAAGATAAATCCAAATGATGGATGGTCTATCAAAACCAGATACCTCAAATCAAGAGGATATCCAGGTCTTCATGGAAAATCTAGGCCTCACCTAGAGATTCTTTTGACTGTTACCGAATCGGTAACAATTACTCACCACTACCAGAACAATAATCCTGAAAGTTTTATAAGCATCAGTAAATGCCATATTAATAAAATCTTGTTACCAAGAGAATGAGGTCTTAACCCAAATGGTGAAAAGGAAATAAGGATTGCTGAAGGAAAGTATATCTACTTCAATTACTGGGACTATGTCCAAGCTTTCACTCAAGTTTTTTATTACCAAAATCCTAAGAACAAGCATTCTTGATTTTTCTCTATTAATCCAGAAATGATTAATAAACCCATACCAAATTGGTTTTACAAATGGTGGACTAAATTTGGTCCGTCTTTGGAAATATTACCCAAAGAATTACTTGATTTATACAATCCCTGGTGTGATAATAGTCCACTTATTATAAATATTTTATCTGATAATTTAATCACAGGACAATGTCAATTTTGGTTCTTTACCAAATTTCAGATCCATGGATATGGAGATGGTCTATCACCATATCTCAAAATAAATTCAACATACCCATTTTAGAAAGAAATTTCTTTTATAAATGGTAAAACAAGATGAGTTCCGAAGAAATCCAGAATAAAATTATTCTGATTCAAGCAGCTATATAAAATTATTCTGATTCAAGCAGCTATAGCTGAAGAGCAAAATAATAAAATCAAAGAGCAAGGCTCCCAACAAATGTCTATGGGAAATTTAACTAAAAAAGATGAGAATTCATCTATGAAAACTAGATCTTCTATGGGATCAATTGATTCCAACAACTTTGATTGTTTAGCAGGAGAAACCCAAGCGGATGACCCC